AAACTGATTTTTTCATACTGGCAGGAAAAAAGGGTATCCCATGATGTAGCTGCCCGTCCCGAGCTACGAATTTAATCGATTGGCGGTAGCCCGGGTCACCGCAAAATATTGGTGGGCCGGGCATAGTTTAAGGTTTTTTTTTTTCTGGGAGCATCGCTGGCACTACTACCCTGTTCATAATAAAGGTTTTTGGGTTAGATCGCGTTATTTATAAATGTGTCGTAACCTTCCACCACCCGACACGGCCAATCAGCAAAAAAGTGTCACGTTGACAAAAGACAAAATAGTTCACTGCTTTAGCCCACCGGTGTGTTGAAGAGTGAATGCACAACATTTACAGTTCGAGTACGACGTTTCGTGTTCAACTGACTACCACCCTGTCCTGCCGGAGGGCGACGACTCAGAGCGATGATGAGGACGACGATGTCGATCCCGCCAGCACGATCGTGACCGCCGACCGTACCAAGAGAGCGCCTGGTGCGCCATTGCCTCCAAGTGGTCTCGCTCACAAAGACAAGGGGGGTGGCCGCCCCCCTAAGAAGCAGAACGTGCTGGGGAATGACCAGACCAAGCATCCCGATGCACTTTCAAAACAAGCAATAAACAGCCGTTACCACGCACAAATACCCCAGCAGCCCCCCCTTTTTTATGGGTGTTTTGCGTTTGTTTTTTTATTTCCATATTTGGCGTGCGCATCGGGCTCAGTGACATATCTCCCGTCTTCATAGGCCTTCTGGTTTCGGAGTTACGGAGGTTTTGGCACCCCTGGGTCACCGTCAATCGAGTCAATATGCTCTGGACACGTGTGGCATTGTCTTTGTACTGTTCGCTTTTTGGCGTTCTCTGGCGATGCGAGGCCATCAACAAGGCTGCCGTCTCTGGTGTCGGCAGGCAAATCGGGCTCACAGACAACGCATCACATAATTTTTTTGTTACCAGTGCCATGTTTGTGTTTGCGTGTGGTGAATGCGGTAACGTGATTCATTGCAAATACAACCTTGGATTGCGAGCATCATTCGTTCCGGAAACGTGTTTGTAATCCAAAGCACTCGTATATCAAAGCACTCGTATGTCAGTTGTGATCACGTGATGCTCGGCAGACAAAGCGTCTATACGTACTGCTACTCATATTGCAAGACCTCTCGCGTTTATCAAATTAATATTTATTTTTAATTTTTAGCTCGTCTTGAAAAACACTCGCAGACCAAATTACTCGCAATCCAAGGTTTTACTGTAGTATCTAATTTGTGTCTGAACATCTTAACACCTGTTTTATTACCAGACGAGGGGGTGGGTGGCCAGCACCACGCCCGGCCGCCTTTGTCTCCCCAGTAGGCGATGTTCACACACCAGTTACTCGTTTGAGGCTGAGTCGACCTAGGGCAGGCCCAGGACCCGTTGAAATAATCGTCACTGGTGGTGTCCGTGAGCAGGAATCGAACTCGGGACGCCAGGTTCGTAGCGCGGCGCACTACCCGCTACACTACAATGCGTTACGCTTCCACGTGCGCGGGTCACGTGACACATTTGACGTCACAGCTCACTTGCCGTGCAAACAAAATACATTCATTATTGAGCTCCCTCCCCCCCCCAACACAAAAGTTTATTTTTATAATTTTTGCATGGTGTAGTCTGGAAAGTACCCACATGGCAAATTTCAAGTTTGTTGCATGTCGGGAAGTACGCTAAACATTTTGAAAAGACACAATCACAACTTTGCCTTATATATATGGAGATAGGGTAACACCTATTCTTATGTTTTATACTTTGTCCCATGATATAACCTCGACATCGTGACAGGTGCCAATTCAGGAGACACAGGACTTGAGGACTGCCTATACAGTATTTATTTTTAAAGGTTCTGCCTTGTTCGAATGTATGTTGAACTTTTTTCACACCTTACATAGCCAACCGTGCTAATCGGTGGTGCAGTGTTAAGTCTATGGGCAGTGTTGAGTCTGTGGGCAGTGTTGAGTCTGTGGGCAGTGTTGAGTCTATGGGCAGTGTTGAGTCTATGGGTAGTGTTGAGTCTATGGGCAGTGTTGAGTCTATGGGCAGTGTTGAGTCTATGGGCAGTGTTGAGTCTATGGGCAGTGTTGAGTCTATGGGCAGTGTTGAGTCTATGGGCAGTGTTGAGTCTATGGGCAGTGTTGAGTCTATGGTGCAGTGTTGAGTCTATGGGCAGTGTTGAGTCTATGGGCAGTGTTGAGTCTATGGGCAGTGTTGAGTCTATGGGCAGTGTTGAGTCTATAGGTAGTGCTGAGTTTATGGGCAGTGTTGAGTCTATGGGCAGTGTTGAGTCTATGGGCAGTATGTATGTGTATGTATGTTGAATTTCTTTTGCACCGTACGTAGCCAACCGTGCTATGTGGCGGTGCGGGTGAAGGACAACAAACTAAACACAAGAAGCAGTTCTCAACAAACGAGTTTTGTCAATCTAGACGACGATTATTTAAAAAGTACGCAGCTCCCAGTGGCTTCCTAACATCGGAAGGGAAGAGCGTTCCAGACGGCCGCCGCAGAAGCAGCGCGTCTTGAAGGCGCCGCGCGATGCAGCGGTGACCGCCGTCTTTGCCCCACGGCGAGCCAGCTGCGAGTGCGAGCGGAGTGTCGCGTGGCGATGGTTTATGCGCCTTGACGAGATCGGCGAGTTTAACAAAAAACGAAACCAAAGAGCAGTTTTATTTTTCTTGTCGTCACGTTTTTATTTTTTTTCTGACAAAATAAACAGGGCACACACAGCGAGCACCCCCCCACACCCCCCACTCCTACGCTTATCGGAACTCTAGCGGCGAGCGCGGAGGCTGAACCTCAGCGTCTCCCCCCCCCCGCCAACGCCTCTTGAAGACAGCCGCTGCGATTGCGTAGCAATCTTCCGAATTTACATTCGCAAGATACGGAGAAAGGCAAAGTAAATAATCTAATCAATCAGCCGCAAGCCAATAAATGGAATTAAACCGCCGGGAAGAAAATCCAAGCGGGGTAATGTGACGACTGAACTACGATCCGGGCCTTGCAAACAGCATTCGGCACGTATAAATCAAACGGGAATTTGTCTTAAGATCTGGAATATGATTAAGTAATAGTAAAAAAGAAAATGACTGGTTCTTTCGGTAAAGACACGTAGGGCATCAAATAAAAAAAATCACGACGTTTCGGTTGCAACACAAGCAATCATCATCAGGTGGGAAAACCACAGCGCAATTTTTTTGCTGAAGTGGTTTTCCCACCTGATGATGATTTCCTGTGTTGCAATCGGAACGTCGTGATTTATTTTATTTTTCCACCCACGTGACTTTACCGAAAGAACCAAAGAGCGTGGATTCCTGAAATCACGAAAGCTTCAAATTTAGATTTTTGAAAAAAATAGTAGGTGAAGGTTTTTTGTTTTTGTTTTTGTACAGCCATTGGTGGGCCAGGCCGGAACCACGACTCGGGAAGCCGGTTAAGCCACAGGCGGCCGGCTCCTGGACTCGAACCCAGGCTCTTGGTGGTACAGGCTCGGCAACTCTGACCTCAAAGCTGACTGCGACCTCACCTATCCCCCTGAACAACCGATCTTAAGCAGCGAATCATTACAGTCGTTTGTTGTATGGCATGTTGAGCTTCTTTCACGCCGCACGTGGCCAACTGTGCTAATCGGAGGTGCAGTGTTGAGTCTATGGGCAGTGTTGAGTCTATGGGTGAGTGTTGAGGCTATGGGCAGTGTTGAGTCTATGGGTAGTGTTGAGTCTATGGGTAGTGTTGAGTCTATGGGTAGTGTTGAGTCTATGGGCAGTGTTGAGTCTATGGGTGAGTGTTGAGGCTATGGGTAGTGTTGAGTCTATGGGCAGTGTTGAGTCTATGGGCAGTGTTGAGTCTATGGGTAGTGTTGAGTCTATGGGCAGTGTTGAGTCTATGGGCAGTGTTGAGTCTATGGGCAGTGTTGAGTCTATGGGCAGTGTTGAGTCTATGGGCAGTGTTGAGTCTATGGGCAGTGTTGAGTCTATGGGCAGTGTTGAGTCTATGGGCAGTGTTGAGTCTATGGGCAGTGTTGAGTCTATGGGCAGTGTTGAGTCTATGGGCAGTGTTGAGTCTATGGTGCAGTGTTGAGTCTATGGGCAGTGTTGAGTCTATGGTGTAGTGTTGAGGTCTATGGGCAGTGTTGAGTCTATGGGTAGTGTTGAGTCTATGGGTAGTGTTGAGTCTATGGGCAGTGTTGAGTCTATGGGCAGTGTTGAGTCTATGGGCAGTGTTGAGTCTATGGGCAGTGTTGAGTCTATGGGCAGTGTTGAGTCTATGGGGAGTGTTGAGTCTATGGGCAGTGTTGAGTCTATGGTGTAGTGTTGAGTCTATGGGCAGTGTGAGTCTATGGGCAGTGTTGAGTCTATGGGCAGTGTGAGTCTATGGGCAGTGTTGAGTCTATGGGCAGTGTTGAGTCTATGGGCAGTGTTGAGTCTATGGGGAGTGTTGAGTCTATGGGCAGTGTTGAGTCTATGGGCAGTGTTGAGTCTATGGGCAGTGTTGAGTCTATGGGCAGTGTTGAGTCTATGGGCAGTGTTGAGCCTATGGGCAGTGTTGAGTCTATGGGCAGTGTTGAGTCTATGGGCAGTGTTGAGTCTATGGTGCAGTGTTGAGTCTATGGTGTAGTGTTGAGTCTATGGTGTAGTGTTGAGTCTATGGGCAGTGTTGAGTCTATGGGCAGTGTTGAGTATATGGGCAGTGTTGAGTCTATGGGCAGTGTTGAGTCTATGGGCAGTGTTGAGTCTATGGGCAGTGTTGAGTCTATGGTGCAGTGTTGAGTCTATGGGCAGTGTTGAGTCTATGGGCAGTGTGAGTCTATGGGCAGTGTTGAGTCTATGGGCAGTGTTGAGTCTATGGGCAGTGTTGAGTCTATGGGTAGTGTTGAGTCTATGGGCAGTGTTGAGTCTATGGTGCAGTGTTTAGTCTATGGGCAGTGTTGAGTCTATGGGTAGTGTTGAGTCTATGGGCAGTGTTGAGTCTATGGTGCAGTGTTTAGTCTATGGGAAGTGTTGAGTCTATGGGCAGTGTGGAGGTCTATGGGCAGTGTTGAGTCTTTGGGTAGTATGAATGTTGAACTTCCTTTCGCACCGTACGGAGCTACCCGTACACACATTGATCCGACCAGCATTGCAAAAGCGGAGCCGACTGTGGCACGGCCGTGGGATGTGGCGGAGGTTGAACGCGTTGGGCAAGCGAGGAGGCACGGAGGGGCGGGGGCACCGACGGTTTTCGCCGAGATGAGATCTCCATCATCCCCATCATCGCCATCCCCACCAATAATAATAATAACAACCGCCACGGTGCCTGTGCCAGGCTCGGTGGGCTTTGAGACCACGTGAAGTGTCGAAGGCTCGCTAAAAGGAGGTCATGGGACAGATTCAGGTGCCACGGGTCGACTGACTGAGACGAGTGGCCGATGAACCACCCGTGCCCGCCACTGTGGCAACTTGCTGCGTTTTAGCCGCCCGGCGCTCCGCTCGTTGTTGTGAGCGTCGCTCCTCTGCCCTCCGTTGTTGCTGGAGGGCGACTGCCTCCAACTGCCCAGTAGTAGCATCTTTCACGAGCCTCCTCCTCCATAGAAGCTGATACAAAACAAACGAAGACAACCCCATATAGCCTGAACAGACTGTTGGGGCAAGTGCTGCACCTAACGAAGGCCGGCATGGCACAGAAGGGGTTGGGGGGTGGTCAGCACCACGCCCGGCCGCCTTTGTCTCCTGAGTGGTGATATTTACACACCACACCAGGTACTCGTTTAAGGCTGAGTCGACCTAGGGAAAGCCCAGGACCGGTTCAGCAGATAATTGTCACTGGTGAGCGGGTATGGGACTCGGTCCGCTGGGTTCGTAGCGTAGGGTGCTAACCGCTACACTACCCTTCCCCACACACGCACACACACAACCGCTTCCCACACACGTAGACCCACAACCGCACCCCACACACCACCGCTCCCCACACACACAGACCCACAACCGCACCCCACACACCACCGCTCCCCACACACACAGACCCACAACCGCACCCCACACACCACCGCTCCCCACACACGCGCACCCACAACAGCTCCCCACACACGCACACACACACACAACCGCTCCCCACACACACAGACCCACAACCTCTCCCCACACACGCACACAACAGCTCCCCACACACCCCCACAACCGCTCCCCACACACACACCCCCACAACCTCTCCCCACACACACACACACACACCACCGCTCCCCACACACACACCCCCACACACACACACACACAACCGCTCCCCACACACACAGACCCACAACCTCTCCCCACACACGCACACACACACAACCGCTCCCCACACACGCACACAACAGCTCCCCACACACCCCCACAACCTCTCCCCACACACACACACAACCGCTCCCCACACACACACCCCCACAACCTCTCCCCACACACACACCCCCACAACCTCTCCCCACACACACACCCCCACACACACACACACACAACCGCTCCCCACACACACAGACCCACAACCTCTCCCCACACACGCACACACACACAACCTCTCCCCACACACGCACACACACACACACACACAACCGCTCCCCACACACACACCCCCACAACCGCTCCCCACACACACACCCCCACAACCTCTCCCCACACACGCACACACACACAACCTCTCCCCACACACACACACACACCACCGTGTACGCGCGCTCCACCTCGTCACTCGGCGCCCTCCACGGCGACGATGCGCGCCTCCGCCCGGACGTGGTGCGGCCCCTCCCGCGCATGCGCTCGCAGTCTCAGCACCGCGGGGCCCCCCAGGGTCCCAGGGGCCGCGGCCGACTCGGCCAGCGCCCGCACCAGCGCGTGCCGGGCCTCGCGCGCCTCCTTGCCGGGCCCAGGCGAGCGGTCCGTGAGGAACTCGACAAAGCCCGGGGAGTCCGACATGAGGCGCTGGGCCCACGGCTGCCCTGCGATTGCCTGGGAGGTGCGCAAGTGTGGGTTCGAGTTAGGGTGTGGGTTAGGGTGTGGATTAGCGTGTGGGTTAGTGTGTGGGTGTTGGTTAGGGTGTTGGTTAGGGTGTGGGTTAGGGTGTTAGGGTGTGGGTTAGGGTTAGGGTGGGGGTTAGGGTGTGGGTTAGGGCGTTGGTTAGGGTGTGGGTTAGGGTGTTAGTTAGGGTGTTGGTTAGGGTGTTAGTTAGGGTGTGGGTTAGGGTGTTAGTTAGGGTGTGGGTTAGGGTGTGGGTTAGGGTGTGGGTTAGGGTATGGGTGTTAGTTAGGGTGTGGGTTAGGGTGTTGGTTAGCGTGTGGGTTAGGGTGTGCGTTAGGGTGTTGGTTAGCGTGTGGGTTAGGGTGTTAGTTAGGGTGTGGGTGTTAGTTAGGGTGTGGGTGTTAGTTAGGGTGTGGGTGTTAGTTAGGGTGTGGGTTAGGGTGTTAGTTAGGGTGTGGGTTAGGGTGTGGGTTAGGGTGTGGGTTAGGGTGTTGGCTAGGGTGTTGGTGTGGGTTAGGGTGTGGGTTAGGGTGTGGGTTAGGGTGTGGGTTAGGGTGTTGGTTAGGGTGTTGGTGTGGGTTAGGGTGTGGGTTAGGGTGTTGGTGTGGGTTATGGTGTTGGTTAGCGTGTGGGTTAGGGTGTGGGTTAGGGTGTGGGTGTTAGTTAGGGTGTTAGTTAGCGTGTGGGTGTTAGTTAGGGTATGGGTTAGGGTGTGGGTTAGGGTGTTGGTTAGGGTGTGGGTGTTAGTTAGGGTGTAGGTTAGGGTGTTGGTGTTAGTTAGGGTGTGGGTTAGGGTGTTGGTTAGGGTGTGGGTTAGGGTGTTGGTTAGGGTGTTGGTTAGCATGTTGGTTAGGGTGTGGGTGTTAGTTAGGGTGTGGGTTAGGGTGTTGGTGTTAGTTAGGGTGTGGGTTAGGGTGTTAGTGTTATTTAGGGTGTGGGTTAGGGTGTTGGTTAGGGTGTTGGTTAGCGTGTGGGTTAAGGTGTTGGTTAGCGTGTGGGTTAGGGTGTTGGTTAGCATGTGGGTTAGGGTGTTGGTTAGCGTGTGGGTTAGGGTGTGGGTTAGGGTGTTAGTTAGGGTGTGGGTTAGGGTGTTAGTTAGGGTGTGGGTGTTAGTTAGCGTGTGGGTTAGGGTGTTGGTTAGCGTGTGGGTTAGGGTGTGGGTGTTAGTTAGGGTGTGGGTGTTAGTTAGGGTGTGGGTTAGGGTGTGGGCTTGGGTGGGGATTAGGGTGTGGGTTAGGGTGTGGGTTAGGGTGTGGGTGTTAGTTAGGGTGTGGGTTAGGGTGTTGGTTAGCGTGTGGGTTAGGGTGTGGGTGTTAGTTAGGGTGTGGGTGTTAGTTAGGGTGTGGGTTAGGGTGTGGGTTAGGGTGTGGGTTAGCGTGTGGGTTAGGGTGTTGGTTAGGGTGTGGGTTAGGGTGTTGGTTAGCGTGCGGGTTAGGGTGCGGGTTAGCGTGTGGGTTAGGGTGTTGGTTAGCGTGCGGGTTAGGGTGTTGGTTAGCGTGTGGGTTAGGTGTTGATTAGCGTGTGGGTTAGGGTGTTGGTTAGCGTGTGGGTTAGGGTGTTGGTTAGCATGTGGGTTAGCGTGTGGGTTAGGGTATTGGTTAGCGTGTGGGTTAGGGTGTTGGTTAGCGTGTGGGTTAGGGTGTTGGTTCAGGTGTTGGTTAGGGTGTGGGTGTTAGTTAGAGTGTGGGTGTGTATTTGGGTGTGGGTTAGGGTGTGGGTTAGGGTGTAGGCTATGGTTTAGGTTATGTTGTGGGTTTGGTTTAGAGTGTGGGTTAGGGTGTCAATTAGAGTTAGCGTATAGGGTTGGAGTTAGGGTGAGTGTTTAGAGTTAGGGTGTGGGTTTGGGTTAGGGATGTGAGAGAGTGGCAGGAGGTTGTTAGTGAGTTTCTTGTGATTGTTGGTGGTGGTGATGATGATGTTCAACATCGTAGTAAGACCCACATTGTTATAATTGTGATGCCGATGCCAGAATTAGCGCCGATGATGATGATGATGCTTCTGCTGCTACTCCAGACGCTAACGATGGTGGCGGCGGTGGTGGGGAGTATGCCGCGAAGTAGTGACGACGGCGACGATGACGGTCGTGGTGATGGCGATGATGATGGAGGTATAGTCATCATGCTCCGGCTGTTAGTGCTGCTGCTATCCATGACGATGGTGGAGATGATAAAAATGATGGTGGTGCTGGCGGTGGTGGAAAGAGCAATTATGATGCTGCTGCTGCTATTGAGGGTGGTAACATTCTGCTGTGTTATTGCTTTTCGTGGAGAGACACTGCAGGGAAAGAGACGTAGAAATGCACGGCTGATGTCTGCAGGGAGCGAGATGAACAATAGGGTAGACACGAAGGGATGAGAAAAAAATATTTCTAGATTGTAAGCTTTCGTGACTGCAGGAATCCACACTCTTTGGCTCCTTCGGTAAAGTCACGTGGGTCGAAAAAATAAGAGATCACGACATTTCGATCGCAACACAAGCGATCGTCATCAGGTGGGACAACCACAGCAAGAAAACAAACTGCTGAAGTAGCCTCCTACTGCTGACAGTGGCTGCTACTACTGAAGTAGGAGCCTACTACTGTAGTAGGAGCAGTAGGAGCCTACTTCAGTAGTAGGAGCAGTAGGAGCCTACTTCAGTAGTAGGAGCCTACTTCAGTAGTAGGAGCAGTAGGAGCCTACTTCAGTAGTAGGAGCAGTAGGAGCCTACTTCAGTAGTAGGAGCAGTAGGGGCCTACTTCAGTAGTAGGAGCCTACTTCAGTAGTAGGAGCAGTAGGAGCCTACTTCAGTAGTAGGAGCAGTAGGAGCCTACTTCAGTAGTAGGAGCAGTAGGGGCCTACTTCAGTAGTAGGAGCCTACTTCAGTAGTAGGAGCCTACTTCAGTAGTAGGAGCCTACTTCAGTAGTAGGAGCAGGAGGAGCCTACTTCAGTAGTAGGAGCCTACTTCAGTAGTAGCAGCCTACTTCAGTAGTAGGAGCCTACTTCAGTAGTAGGAGCAGTAGGAGCCTACTTCAGTAGTAGGAGCCTACTTCAGTAGTAGGAGCCTACTTCAGTAGTAGGAGCCTACTTCAGTAGTAGGAGCCTACTTCAGTAGTAGGAGCCTACTTCAGTAGTAGGAGCCTACTTCAGTAGTAGGAGCAGTAGGAGCCTACTTCAGTAGTAGGAGTAGTAGGAGCCTACTTCAGTAGTAGGAGCAGTAGGAGCCTACTTCAGTAGTAGGAGCCTACTTCAGTAGTAGGAGCAGTAGGAGCCTACGTCAGTAGTAAGAGCCTACTTCAGTAGTAGCAGCCTACTTCAGTAGTAGGAGCCTACCTCAGTAGTAGGAGCCTACTTCAGTAGTAGCAGCCTACTTCAGTAGTAGGAGCCTACTTCAGTAGTAGCAGCCTACTTCAGTAGTAGGAGCAGTAGGAGCCTACTTCAGTAGTAGGAGCAGTAGGAGCCTACTCCAGTAGTAGGAGCAGTAGGAGCCTACTTCAGTAGTAGGAGCAGTAGGAGCCTACTTCAGTAGTAGGAGCCTACTTCAGTAGTAGGAGCCTACTTCAGTAGTAGGAGCAGTAGGAGCCTACTTCAGTAGTAGGAGCCTACTTCAGTAGTAGGAGCAGTAGGAGACTACTCCAGTAGTAGGAGCAGTAGGAGCCTACTTCAGTAGTAGGAGCAGTAGGAGCCTACTTCAGTAGTAGGAGCCTACTTCAGTAGTAGGAGCCTACTTCAGTAGTAGGAGCAGTAGGAGCCTACTTCAGTAGTAGGAGCAGTAGGAGCCTACTTCAGTAGTAGGAGCCTACTTCAGTAGTAGGAGCAGTAGGAGCCTACTTCAGTAGTAGGAGCAGTAGGAGCCTACTTCAGCAGTAGGAGCAGTAGGAGCCTACTTCAGTAGTAGGAGCAGTAGGAGCCTACTTCAGTAGTAGGAGCAGTAGGAGCCTACTTCAGTAGTAGGAGCCTACTTCAGTAGTAGGAGCAGTAGGAGCCTACTTCAGTAGTAGGAGCAGTAGGAGCCTACTTCAGTAGTAGGAGCAGTAGGAGCCTACTTCAGTAGTAGGAGCAGTAGCAGCCTACTTCAGTAGTAGGAGCCTACTTCAGTAGGTAGGAGCAGTAGGAGCCTACTTCAGTAGTAGGAGCAGTAGGAGCCTACTTCAGCAGTAGGAGTAGTAGGAGCCTACTTCAGTAGTAGGAGCAGTAGGAGCCTACTTCAGTAGTAGGAGCAGTAGGAGCCTACTTCAGTAGTAGGAGCAGTAGGAGCCTACTTCAGTAGTAGGAGCCTACTTCAGTAGTAGGAGCCTACTTCAGTAGTAGGAGCAGTAGGAGCCTACTTCAGTAGTAGGAGCTACTTCAGTAGTAGGAGCAGTAGGAGACTACTCCAGTAGTAGGAGAGGCAGTAGGAGCCTACTTCAGTAGTAGGAGCAGTAGGAGCCTACTTCAGTAGTAGGAGCCTACTTCAGTAGTAGGAGCCTACTTCAGTAGTAGGAGCAGTAGGAGCCTACTTCAGTAGTAGGAGCCTACTTCAGTAGTAGGAGCAGTAGGAGCCTACTCCAGTAGTAGGAGCAGTAGGAGCCTACTTCAGTAGTAGGAGCCTACTTCAGTAGTAGGAGCCTACTTCAGTAGTAGGAGCAGTAGGAGCCTACTTCAGTAGTAGGAGCCTACTTCAGTAGTATGGAGCGAGTAGGAGCCTACTTCAGTAGTAGGAGCCTACTTCAGTAGTAGGAGCCTACTTCAGTAGTAGCAGCCTACTTCAGTAGTAGGAGCAGTAGGAGCCTACTTCAGTAGTAGGAGCCTACTTCAGTAGTAGGAGCGGTAGGAGCCTACTTCAGTAGTAGGAGCCTACTTCAGTAGTAGGAGCCTACTTCAGTAGTAGGAGCCTACTTCAGTAGTAGGAGCAGTAGGAGCCTATTCAGTAGTAGGAGCAGTAGGAGCCTACTTCAGTAGTAGGAGCAGTAGAGCCTACTTCAGTAGTAGGAGCAGTAGGAGCCTACTTCAGTAGTAGGAGCAGTAGGAGCCTA